AAAACTGATTACAAAGATATGACCAATGGAATAAAACATTTACTGCTTCTAGGGCACTTTTCATCAGGTTGCAGTGATAGATGGCACATTTATATTCATGCCATATGTTTCTACATATGTCATAGTATAAAGCACTCCACTGACCCACTATTTACAGAGAAAAGAGAAAAAAAAATCACTGGATACAACAGTTGTGGTTGTTTAATGTCTGCTCACAAAGTCATTGCAATAATTACTACGTGTGTCACTTCTGTTAAAAAAGGAAAAGAGAGAGAGCAGAGAGGAAGGAGGAGAGTGGTTAGCGAGGACACCTCATACATTTGACCTTAATGAGGCAGGCTATGAATACYCATAATGATTTCTCAAACTGTTTGAAGATGAGCAGCTTGAGGCAGAAGAACTGTACTAGAAAGGAGATAGGCTAAGTACCACTCAAATGGAGCCATTATGCTTGCAGCTATTTGGATCCTGAAATGAGATAAAAGCTGCATCACGGAGGCATAAAGACTTCAGGTCCAATAGAAAGAATTAATTGACATATCTTCTGGTAAAATACATTGTGAAACCTTTCAGTTCTACTTTGCATCAGTAGTCTAAGTGATGAAGCTGTAGAAACAGCAGGCTATGATTGTCCTTTCCTCAGCTTAAAGCCTCAAGCAACCACAGGAGTGCTGATCTGCCTCTCCCACTGACATCCCTTACAGCCATTAGGATAAATAACTGAGCCCTTATGGTCCCTCTGCATTGTTCTTCTATTTATTCTTCACTCTAAAAACCCTTACAGGACAAATGCACAAGGTAATATCTAAATAATCTTACTCATCTGACACCTTTTCCCCATCMTCCTTGTATCAAAAAGAGAAACAGAAAAAATGGGGAGTAATCAACTTATTTCTTGTATCTGCCTCAATAGGACTGAAAATAAATCAGTCAGAGGAAACGAAATCAGGCCTAGAGATGCAGAAATACTATACAGAGCATGGAATGAAGCTGCCACTTTGCACTAACAGATTTAGGATATTGAGATATTCTAACAAACATCTTAAAAGAGYAATTCTTTCCACTACATCTACAGTTCTAATGACAATTAAGGAGAAAATGGTAAAGGTCAAACTGGATACCGAGAGCCCAACCCTCCAGCTTTGGAGAAACCAGTCTGAATGCAGAGACTAACTTGGCCTTGTGTTCCTGCCTCTGAATGAAAGTAAGATTTTGGCCATAAGATGACAGATCTTTGAAAGAGGTCTCTGTTCACCTTAGCCACAAAAGAGGCTAAACTGAAAAGCAGTCTAATGGTTAAACCTTATGCCATAACACAGCAACAAGGAATACTTTTCCCATAAGGWCACTAATTTGAAAAGTTCCAACTTTCTGCCTCTAAATATTTCTTATATTGTTTTCCAAAAGTAGAAAAAAAAATAGCTTCCTAAAATTTACATAGTCCCTACACATAACTATTTGGAAAGTTGTACAACTTGAACATCAATGCCCAAGGTTTTGAAGATCTGCTTTATTGCATCAGAAATAGATAGTTTGAGTGTGATACCTGAAACATCTTCATTCCAATATGAGGACATAAAATATAAGTGCTTGGTTCCTCTTCACTGTTGGAACACAGGTCTAAGCACAAAGTTTATTTGGAGAAGACAAGGCCAAGAGAATTGRAGGGAGGAGCTCAGGGATTTCTTTGGCCTTAGAGGAATTTGTAGAAACCATGAACTGCTGTGGGGATCACACACAACTACATATTTCTGACTTTGACTGCACCATTGAATCACCCGCACATCTTAGACACCAGAACAATTTTTAGTTACCACAGCAACATCTGCAACAGGGAGGTCTTGTCATGGAAATCGCCAGTTTACTAAATTAAGACACACTAAATTTGGGTATGGATTATGCCCAAAAAATATGCCCAGACAGCTGTCTTC